GCAAAAACAACCCCTTTTTTTTTTTTTTTTTTTTTTTTTTTTTTTATGGGTACGTGGAATCTAGTAATGTATTAGGGGGCAGGCACTGACTGTGAGCTGACTTTGTGTGGGACACTGTTCTGTACAGTTGGGTCACTTCAGTGAATAGGACACAGGAGCCCCTGTCCTCCGGGAGTTGTCTACAGGGAAGGAAACAAACAGTTTCTAATAGCAACAAGTGCCGGGAAGGAAGTAAAGCAGTGTGAGGTGAACTGCATCTGCAAGAGAGTCAGGAGACAGTTTAACTTGGTTGTTCAGGGAGGTCTGCCCAAGGAGGTGACACTAAAACAGAGACCTGAAGGATCAGAAAGGTCCAGGCACAGGAAAATCTGGTGGAAGTGTGTCTCTGCCAGGTGCACAGACCCTGCGGTGGGATAGACTTTGGGGTGGTTGAGAGCCTGAAAGGAAGCTGGTGGGTGTGGCTGGGCAGAATGGGCAAGCAGGAGAGTGGTAGGTGGAGAGGGTAGCAAGAGAGGAGAGGCAAGGGCCACACTGTGTAGGACTTTCTCACGAGAATGTTCTCGGCCTTCTCCCTTTCCGTGTTATTCAAGCCCAATTCATGTTTCAAGGTTCACCTCCTCCAGGAAGCCTGCCCTAGCCTAAGCCCTGGACTAAGCCTTAGAGCCAACTATTCATGTAAGTGGGTATGTGCATAGGGCGTGTCCTTTTTAAAAAATTATTACTACGTTTTAAGTTTATTTATTGATTTATTTTTGATGGGTAAGAGAGACAGAGATGGAGAGAGAGAGGGAGAGACAGTGCCCACAACAGGGTCTTGACGTTGCGATCCACACTCAGATTCAGTCAGCCCTGGATCTTGGGCATGACCATGCTCAGCGTCTGCAGGGCAGTCTCCGGATGTGAACCTGGAAACTTTGCGTGTGGGTCAGCCTCACAGTATCAGGTTTTACTGCTGTGCTACCCTCCAGCCTTCCACGGGCATGTCCTTTCAGCAGATCCAAAGCTCCTTGAGGACAAGGAAGAGGTATTAATTGTGGCACCTCCCAGAGTGCTAGTCATGTAATAAATTTTCAACCAAGACTTGTTGCACTGAGCAGTTCATGTATACCACCATAAGAGTGAACCAAGTTGAGTTATCGAATCAGCCTGCTTATGCCACTGTTAACTAGGTGATCTTGGGCAAGTTGCTTAACCTCTATGAGTTTCTGTTTTGTCCTGATTAAGATGGACATAATAGGGACCAGCAGATGGCAGAGTCAACCACCGTTCAAGTCCTGAACCTGGTGGCTTAAAACTCATACCTGGCATGTGTGTGCATGTGCCCAAAATCCAGAGAGGAGAATGGAAGAGAAGGGACTGTGGTGTGACAGTACCCTGGGTGGTGATTTCTTGCTTTCTGTCTCTCTCTCTGTAGCAAGCGCACATAACCTATAGCAAAAATCCTTCTTTAAAAAAAAAAAAGAAAAAGAAAAAGATGGGCATCATAAACCACCTGAGCCAGGAGTCTCCAGGAAGATAGTAAATAAACCTAAATAAACCTTGACTAGTGTTAACTGTGATCATTGCCAATATCATGAATCACCTTATCCAGTCTAAACTGGGGGCACGGTTTTTCTAGCTAGACGTCTAATCCCTCGTGTGTTTACTGGTGGTACAACTGCAATAAGAGTGTCTTTTTCTTTTAGACCATGTCCTGAACTATCATGGGTGCTGCCACCAGTGGCAGCTTGTCTTGTCTGTACAAAGGCAAGTCCTGGCCTTGCTGTAAGGTCCCAGACAGTGAAACTCTCCTGAGCACCATTTGGTATCGCTCCAGGCCTGACGAGGAGCCAAGGCCCAACTTCTACATACTTGGTCTTAGCAAGAGCCCCCTCTCCAGATGTTGATACTGCAAGGTCACGCTGACCCAGGACACAGCAGATTAAGACCCAGAGGGAGAACCAGGAGGTCTAACTCCCTAGAGATGGATCAAAAAGACCAAATGTTTCATGTATGCTTATCCCATTCTGCCTAATTCCCTTGCAGATCAGCCGCACCACAGTCTCCCAGGACAGCTGGACTGATAAAAGGAGCCCCCTACCTCCTGGCAGGTGGGCTAAGGCCCCTCTGGCTGCAGGCCTCCCTCTCAAATTTTTATTTTTCCTTGAGATGATGTCTCCTGAGTCTTACTCTGGACATGACACTTGCCTTTGTCACAAACACAACCCCCTTACACTGCTTCACCTTTCTGGGCATTGCCCAATATTAAGGAGGACTCTTAAACATCACTGAAAAAAAAGTCAAGAAACTTGAGCCTGGCTCTATCCCTGGGGTTCTTGGGTAATCCCCTTCACTCTCCAGGCCTCAGTTCCCCTCTGAACAAGGACGCAGCTGTTCTGGGTGATTCCTACAGGGCCTTCCAGTCTGGCACTCTGCGAGTCTGTTTAGGCAGCAGCCCCAGAACGAATGAGGCCGGCAGGGTGAGGGTGTCTGGTCAGGACAGCCCACCACAAGGAGAGGAAGAAAGAAATGAAAGACAGAGACAGCTTTGGCTGTGGGGAGAAGGGGGAGGCCGGGGAAGGAGGAGACAGAGGAGGAGGAGGGACCACTGGGTGGAGGGAGACAGACCCAGCCCAGAGCTCTGAGTGGTTTCCTGTTGCCTGTCTCTAAACCCCTGCACATTCCTGCAGACCTTCAGACTGCTGAACGGCGAGCGCCTGCTGCCTGCCTGCTGCCGAGGTATGCACGACCCTTGCCCAGGCTTTCCCTTCTGGGGTTGCACCAACGCCAACAACCTAGTTCTTTTCTCCAGCTTGTGTGCAAGGGAGGGGAGCTGTGCGACGGATGCACATCACCCCTGACTCCGTCGCAGGTCCCTTAGGGCACGACCCCGACCCCAACCTTGCCGAGGTATGCACGACCCTTGCCCAGGCTTTCCCTTCTGGGGTTGCACCAACCCCAACAACCTAGTTCTTTTCTCCAGCTTGTGTGCAAGGGAGGGGAGCTGTGCGACGGATGCACATCACCCCTGACTCCGTCGCAGGTCCCTTAGGGCACGACCCCGACCCCAACCTGTCTACCCATTGCTTTTCAGAAAGCAGATTCCCAGTGTAATTTGGACTCTCTTTTAGGTTTGCGTCCTTAGGGGAGTATTTTCTCTTTCTCTGTTCATGTTTGTCTCTCTGGGCTCAGAGGCTGCCTGCCTGTCCTCTTTGCTCCCTTTGCAAATGTGGTAGCCTCCTCCTTTCCCGGGAATCTGATCCCCTCACAGCTCCAACAGGAACCTGGCTGGCCAGCAGTCCCAGTCTGTCCTATTTCCTCTTCCAGAAGAAACCTTGTAGACTTGGGTTTTGGTCAGGGACTTGGTTATCCGTAAGGGACTTTGCAAGAATGATAAACTGATATTTGAAGGTAGAGGTGGGAGGAAGACTTTACCATTAGTCAGCACCTCCGGGATGGCCCTGTTTCTCTCTAATTCTCCCTGCTCTCAAATCACCCTGCTACAGAGACTCCCGCGCCATCGGGCCTGACATGGCACCATCTCACAGTCTGTCTTGGCTTAGGCTTTGTTACCATCCTAGGCTTTCTAGGATGGTGAACCCAGAAGCCCTTATGGTGTCTAAACCTGAAGAACCCAAACACCAGATGTCATCCAACTAAGATGGGGGTGTAGCACTAGGCCACTGTGGTGGTGAGTGTACCAAAAGGGGGCAGGGAGATAGAGAGGACTCCAGGGCACCCTTTCCTACCTCTCAGTTTTGGGCAGTGCCACCCCATATAGGACTGGCCCCCAGCCTCTCAGGGTGTTCTTTAGACACTCTATTTCCCCTTTTTGCCCTCATTGGCTCCATGGTCTGGCTTTTTAGAGGACTTCCTGAGTGTTCTGAAGAACATGGGAAAGGGGGGCATTGGGAAGAAGCATGTCTTCCAGGAATTCCAGGGTGCCCAAGAGGGAACAGAGAGAGACATATTTTCCTCAGCAAAGGACATCACTCTTGCATTAGAGAAAGTGTTTTCACCAGCGCCTCTCTAGGGTTACATTTCTGTAAAACCCAAATGCTAAGCTGTACTGAGAAGCTAATCAGAAGTAGCAGGCTTCGGGCTCACATGCTATGTGTGGTCTTAAGTAAGTGTGTCTTCTGGGTTTAGCTTCCCGATCCGTAAAGCAACAAGGTTGGGCTCGATGATCTTCATGACACCAGCATCCTTGGAAACTTCTAAGGAAGGTCTCTTATCTAGAGTCTGTGGACTGGCCTTTGAGTGAGCTTCAAAACATTTGTAAGCCCCTTAAAATTTTATACAGCTTCAAAACATTTGTAAGCCCCTTAAAATTTGAAACACAGCAGGGTGTGCGTGTGTGTGTGTGTGTGTGTGTGAGAGAGAGAGAGAGGGAGAGAGAGAGAGAGAGAGAGCAAGAGAAAGGATGTCACAACTTTCAGCCTTAAGATATTTTCAAATACATACACAACACCCAGTGATCAGAGGGATGATGTGAGGGATGAAATGGAGACTAGAAACAAACGTATGCTTGCAGGATGATGAAAATTTTTGAAAGGGGACTGGTTGGACAAGAGAGAGTTAACTGCAGCCATCAGCTGCCACATCGACAAAGCCTGGAGCAAATGGGGGAGGGAGGGATGGAGGGGGGTTGCCTGGAGAAGGAATCAACTTTTGAAACTTTCTCCAAGTCCCACCCACCAAAAGGCTCTTCTCTGCCTCTGCCGTGACTCACCCTCGGAGGAATGCGAGTTGCCACGGTAACCTTTTTTTTTTTTCAGGGTCTCTGCCTGCTGGCTGGGAGGGGACGCTGGGAACACTCAAAGAACATCAGGTTCCATCTGCATGTCCCCTCCTGCAAACTCTAGGCTCTGTCCTCCTGATCTCCCAGAATCCCAGGGAAGCCTTGGGCTGTGATAAGTCCCTTGGGCAGGGTGTCTGAAGACCTAGTTTTAGTTCCAGCTATGCCCTGAAGGTGCCACCTGACCTTGAACTAATCTTTTTCTTCCCGAGTCTGTTTCCTCTGTTCTTAAAGAGCAACACCAGCAGCCACCTCAAGGGGACACTGTGTGAAGGAAGTGAGATAATACACAGTGAAGTCCCTTGTAAACTGTGGCACTCCCTCCTAAAGATGAAGGAGTTTAGAACTGATGGATGCTTGGCACCCAAAGATATAGATCCTCCATAGGTGTCATCTTGGAGTTTGTAATACATTTAAATTCATTTTGATTTGGAGAACTTTTGTGAATTTCCTGAGTGTCATGGCCTCCAGTGTAGAAGAGAATTGACTAAGGATGTGACTGGAAGTGCAGTCCAACTCACCGTGTGTGACATTGACATAGACACTTTATCCATCTGGGCCTCAGTTTCCCCATCTGTTAAATGGAGGATCCAAGCTCGGTGGTCTCCAGGCACTCTTCCAACTCGGGTCCTAGAAACCTAAATCCCAGATGTTGCTTTCATCTCAGGGTATAGATGTCATGTATCCTTAGCTCTCATCCTGCCTAACACACATGCACATGTACACACACACACACACACACACGCACACACACATGAAAAGGAGACAGAGGAGTTGTTGGAGATCTTGGTTTGCTTCGTGGTCATGCTAAAATCTTTATCTACCTCTAGAGATTTGTCAACCAATAGCAAGGGTGGGGTTTGCTATTCACAAGAGCAGTTTTCCTTGGTGAAAAAAGCTATACATAGGAAAGGATGATGGAGAAAAGGAAATAGCGGAGAACCAGAGGTGAACAGTAGAATATTTGACTGGGAGGTTATTTGGGTAAGTAGATAAGTATGCAGAGATAAACAGGAATGGACACAAACCTATTGGGATGCAAAGGATAAACACTGATTTCACCAACAGGTACCCGCTGGTACAGCTAAAAATAAGTGTCTCCACACATGAGCAGACACAGAAGTCACACACCCAAATATTTCTCTCTGAACAATCCTTTGACTTATAGACACAGGCAAGTTCCAGGTATACATGTTTTTTTATTTTTATTTATTTATTTTTTATAGAGGTTTTTGCCTTAGGGCACATGCGCTCCCCAGACAGAGAGAGACAGAGACAGTGAGAGGGAAAGTGAAAAATCACTCCTCAGGACGATGGTCACACCACAATCCCTTCTCTTCCATTCTCTTCCCTGGATCTTGGCCATGCATGCACACATGCCCGGTGTGATTTTTAAGCCACTGGGTCCATAACTCGAACTATCGTTGACCATCTGGGAGTCCAGTAACATAACCACTATGCCATTTGCTGGCCCCTTAGGTATACATCATGATGAATATGAAAACTCAGACTCACTCGTTCTGGGCCAAAACAGACAGGTGCTGAGTAAGTACAGGTGCAATTTATATGGATATGCCATCTGGTGGGCAAACATTGCCGGTAGTAGCCACACACAGATGTGCATGGTCCTATATAACATGGAACAGGACAAGAAGACATGCACACGCATTCCCACCTGACCACCTCTATATTTTAGAGATAGAGAAATTGAGGCTTAGGAAGGGAAAATAATTCACTTGAGGTCACACAACAAGCTGGTGTCTGAGCCAAATCTCCAAATATTTGGAACACTGTCTTTTTTCCCCTTCTTGTTTCTATTCAGCTGGGAGTCATACTCATGCACTCTCTCCCATAGGCAGTGAGCCCTGTGAACAACAAGTGATGAACAGCCTCTGCTCTTCCCTGTTGCTGGCCTGCAAAGGCCTATCCCAGCCCACCTGCTTTGTCATTAGGCTCAAAGGCCGAGCTCCATGACATGGCTAATAGGCCACTGCTCGTACGCTCCCTACTGGCTCTCTCCCTGACCTCCATCTTAAAAAGGAGTTAAGAAAAGGCTGGTGCCAAGTTTTTAGCAAACCTTGGGGATTAATGGAGCTACCTTTTCTCTACAATACAGAACCTAGATCCTTCCTCACTCCCATTCCCAACCCTGAACTCAGGGTCAGCTAGACTGTTTGGGGCCAGGACCAGCAAGTAGTACCTTCCTAGAATGTTTTAGAAAAACTGTCTCATTCTTCAGCTTGGAGCTGTCTGAGACAGGAAATTGAATCTGCCCATCAGGTCATAGTCTACAAGGGAAACAGAGATACTGACTCTCCCCAGGGCTGGATTCTTCCAGAAATTTTATATAACTGCTTTCATTTGGGGATCTCTTTGGGTCATCTTGTTTTAGTCATGGTATTAGGATTTCAGACTGAGCAGATAAAAAACCAAACAAACAAACAAACAAAAAACAAGATAAACATCTGGATGGTTCTGAACATTTGGAAGTTTGACTCAGACAGCAGCTTACTATATAACCTCGAGTGACTTATTTTCCTTCTCTAAGCCTCAAGTTCTTCATGTCTAAAATAAGAAAAGAAAAGGTTTCATGTAGCCTGACAACATGAATTCATTAGTTGTGGCCGCATTCAGGACTCTGATGCCACTGTGGATTGTGGGAGTGGGAGAAAAGGCCATATGATTGACTAGTAATGTCTGCCACGTGCACAGGATAGGCAGGTGGAAGCATATATGCCACGTATTTGTTGTCTTTGGGATCTCTTAAGACTTTCCAGATGTGACAGAGAGCCTGGACATTTTGGTGTTATTCTCATCCCCTCCATTTGTGGTCATCCCTAATGCAGTAGTAGCCCCCTTAGATAGAGCCAAGGAGGAAGTATGAAACTCCACCCCTGGCTTCTACTAGCCACAGTGACACGTGGCATCTTAGATGCCTCTA